GCAGGCACAGGCACAGGCACGGCCGGGGAGAGCCCGCCACGGGGACGGCTGCGGACCCCCACAGGGCCGGGGCCCGTGCCCGAGGTCCTGCCAGCTCTTGGCCTGTTTGTTGTATAAAAGAAGCCTCCAAGTTTACCAGCTGCTGAGGCCGTACGGGCAGTCTCAGAGCGTTGGCTCCTGAAAGGCGCACACGGGAGACGGAAATACAAACCCAGGCTCAGGGCCTGGCGAGCGCCGAGCCTCGTGGACGAGACCCGTGACTCCGACAAGGAGTGGGCGCACTGGACTGTATCCGCCGTACAAACAGGCTGCTTAGAAAGGGCTTCTGGACTCTGCTAAGTGCCCACCCCGTGCTGGGAGCAGGCCCCCTCTCCTGCCCTGGCGGCCACCCGGCTGATGATCTCCGGGGGACCCCGAGGATTCTGGAGTCTAAGGAAGGACCTCCGCCACCTTTGGGGCTACCTAGTGCTCAGTCCCCCTCCCTGGGCCCTGGGCTGCCCTACACCGCATCCTCCTCCTGGTTTAAGTCACGTCCCTTATAGAAGGGACTGTATTCACTATAAAAATCAGGAAGTCCGGAGAGGTGTGAAGAGGCCCCCCAAACATGAGCGTCATTCCTCCCGCCGCTGCCCTGGGAACAGCGGGGTCCCTGCCCAGCGCTCTGGCCACATGCAAGCCTTCCCCGCGGGAGCCGGGCGCCATCGCCCCTCCGGAGGCAGTTCTTACCTGTCTGTTCCGAGCTTTTGAGTGTCAGCTCGTATGTTAAATCTGAAAAGGAAGCCACAGGCATTGGTTCTGTGTGGTCACAGCGCACTGCCCTGCCCTGCCCAGGCCTGCTCAGCCCAGAAACCGAGCCACCAGCCGGGAGTCCCCGCTCCCCCCACTCCCCCGGGCAGGTCGGGGTTAGGGGCAAGCGTGACAGCGGCGGAAGCTACCAGTGGCCACCGCCCTTCTCAGGGTCCAGAGGGAACCCCCTCTCCCCTAAAACACATCCCACCCCCCACATTCTGCCAGCAGCTGGCTCTGCTACGTGGCGCTTTGGTCATCGGTCCCCAACTGCATTGCCAGTCCTGACCACTGCACTTGGACCCATGGGTTCGCGGTGCGCCCGGGACTGGCTGCCCCGCTCTCCTCTGGCACAAATCCGTGGTCTCCCGGTGACGGGTCACCCCATCAGAGAGGGACCCCTCACTGCCTGGCGACCAGCCCGCC